TTTGTGTGTACAATTTGCCACTTCGATCACAATGGCATCACTACCTAAGCCAGAATTGGGGGTCGGGGTGTTCCTGTTAAAGGGCAATAAAGTACTGCTGGGTCGCCGCCGCACCGCGGTTGGGCGCAACACTTTCGCCCTTCCCGGCGGCCACCTCGAGTTCGGTTAGTTTATGAACGTCCTTTTACTTTTTGCACTTATAATTATTTTTATACTGATTATTGCTACTATACTGTGTTGGGGGAGTCTTAATTGAATTACAATTTCAGGTAGAAACCAGTTTTGTTATGAGTTATGATCAATTTTATTTTTTATATAAAGGTGAATTTGTGGTTATAGATTTAGCAGATTTTTAGGGTAACTTATAGATGTGTTTGATAATGTTAAAAGGTAAATTACTTGACCAGATTCATGAAAAGATTGAGACTGGTCATGGCAACAGGACCTCAATAAAGTAAGGACCATTTGCTCCCCCTAATTCCCTGGGCCAAATACTTGAGGATGGCGAAGGCATGCCCGATACTCTATTTTCTTTGTCGGAAATATAGGGGCGGCGAAATGGCCTTGCATTTTGAATTAAAGATTGAATTGGGAAAAACACTTGTGTGGAATGTAATATTGGAAGACTCTTTTAAGATGGAGAACTACTGAATTTGCTCATCTGGACATATATGGGAGACAAAAACTTGTTTCTGTCGGCAGTAAGATTCTTTTGTAAATTGAAACAAAGCCAAACATGCTCTGAGGCTGTTTAAAGAAAGATGTGTCGAGAGTAGTTTACTCTTTTGTGGACTTCAGCCTATAAGTACTAATTTCCATTTCGATGCTCCCCCTTCTGTAGGTGAATTTGCCCTTCACTTCTCTTTTGAGATGGCTAAGTGACATTAATTTCTTATGTTGAGGGTCGTAAAAGAATGATTCTGTTAATTAATTTGCATGTTTTCTCTTGAGTTGCGTTACTGATGTCCTAATCCATGTAGGTAAACATTTTGTGAGTGGATTTATCCATCCTACAATTGTCACACTAAATATTTAGTAAATTAAGTTGCAGTGCTCTGAAAATGTGCTGAGAAGAGCGTCATTTGATGCCAAATATTTTATGAAGTTCCTAATTTCCGTTGCGTTGTTCCTCATTGGAAATGAAATGTCTCAATATGGAATTGCTAAAGAAAATAAAACATAAATAATTAAAATAATTAAATAAAGGGAGAACATATACCATGTTCTTTTGGCGGAGTTAATATATCATTTTACTCCACAAATCAACATTTTCTTGCGATTTTCAATAACAAATAATTTTGTTCATTTTACTTCACAACAACCTTTGCTTAAATGCCAAAAAATTTGAGGATTATTTTTTTTTTTATTTCTTTTTTGGATTGACTGAGTCAGCATATCCTTATACACCCAAATGCTCGGGGTGCTAATTCTTATATGATGGAAAAAATAACTTAAAATGTCTACAAGTGATCAGATAGAAAAGGCATTATCATTTTAGTAGTGTCTGAGCTCCACGAGTCTTAGTTACAATAATTTCTTGAGTAGTATTCTCTTATGCATCACCCTTGTCATTTTCTTTAAGAAAATATTGAAGACCTTTAAATGAATCTATATATCTTCTTTCTCACTGTTTTGGCAATTTCTCGTGTACATTAGAATTTACCGTGAAGTCAAAACTGAGTGAAGTCATGTTTCACTAGATTGTAGAGGTCACTTCAATGGCAGTGTGGTTTGATAATAATTTAATAATTTGACGACACTAAGATGTGACTTTTAACTAAGTTTAGACTCAATTTTCAATAGCCATAAATTTTTCTTTTGCTCGTCTTTCCTATCATTAGGGGAATTTCAATCCAAATATCAATCACATAAAATGAGGTACATGTTTGACATGAGTTTAAGATTTAGTTTGTCACCTGTTCTTTAAGTTCACAACCTACAGAATGAATAAGAACAGGAAAATACTTGTGAACTTTCTACAAGATAACAGCAATTGTTTTAGTTTTGATAGGTTTGAACCTGGAGTTGAATGCGCCCTTTTCATTCACCAGAAAAGCTAAACTTTCTTTTCACTTCATCAATTCTGTATTTTATTATCTTATTTTCAGGAGAAAGCTTTGAGCAATGTGCAGCCAGAGAAATTAAGGAGGAAACTGGGCTGGACATCACAGATATTGAGTTCCTCACTGTCACCAACAATGTCCTTTCAGAACCAAAGCCCATTCAGTTGATTGCCATCCTCATGCGTGCAGTGGTGGCAGATCCTGAACAGACACCCGTCAATCTTGAGCCTGAGAAATGTGATGGTTGGGATTGGTATGACTGGGATAATCTTCCAAAGCCGTTATTTGCTCCGTTGGAAACTGTTGTGCTACGTGGTTTCAATCCTTTTCTGTCCCATTAGACGGTGGTCAAGATTAAATAATGTACAGTTGTTCGGCTGCCCTCTACCTCATTCAGCAATTGACTTCATCAGGGATAATTCATCGCAGAGTCGGAAAATGATGCTTGGTCGTAAACTAGACAGTGTGATTGCAAAATAACACGACAGGTTAGCTGTCGTCGCTAAATATGATTTTCTGATCAAGTATTTGAAAGGAGTGACCTATTTGATCAATTTATGTGCATTTCTTTCTTAGTAAACAATCTCTCATTTGAACAAATTATGGATTTTTCTTGCCCTCTATTTCGAATTTTTTTCCCCTTTACTCTTGTTTGGTATTAGAACCGTTCAGTTCAACGCAGTCGAAGTTGAGTAGTTATCATCATGTTTTATTGATTAGGTAGTTGAATAATTAGTTCTATTGATAAGTTGCAAGCATGCACATTTACACTGCTGTAAATTATTGAGGGCTTTATCTTGAAAGCAAGGATACCTTGAACATTTATGCATCATGGCACAAAATAGATTATAAGTTGATTTGGAATGATAGCTTATGAGTGTGTGAGGTACATTGTAAATAACTGAAATTTAAGGTTTATTGAGGAGCTATATGGAACATGGTTTGTAGCATCAGTCTTTTAACTCTTGAGGTCATTGACGTTTGGGTCCATAACTTTTCAGCCCCCAATCCCACACTCTCACCGCGCTACGATACATGATTTGTAGCTCAGCCCCTTAAATTTAAGGCCATTGACACTTACATCCCTAACTTTTCAGGAAAAAAAAGTTACATTTCAGTCCAGCATCAAAAAAAAAAAAATTTAGTGCAGCCTTGGCTCCACCCCCGGTTCCGCCCTTGTCCCCCGACATCAACGTTATCATGCGTATACGGGATAATTTATGTAAAAAACATATTTTCAAATTGTAGCAAGAAGCCTATTGATGTTTTATAGAAGTAAAAAATGTTGTCCTAATTGGCATTTCCAAGGTAACCACAATCTTAGCAATGACAAATTTTACTGCATTTTTATATTTGTATTTGAATATTCAGCTCAATTCAGTGGGCACCAAACATGATACAATTGGAGTGGGAAAGGTACAGTTAGTGCGTCCAAGTCCAACTTGTCACGAGCCTATCTTTGATTAGGACTCAATTATTGAGCTCTTAGCCCTTAATTATTCCAGCTACATTTTATAAATTATTTGTATTCTAATGATTTTCAGGATCTTTCTAAAATATGATGTTGAAATTCTGTATGGGTAATTAGCACAAAACATCCCTACCTTTCGATATTTTTGTGGAAAACGTCCTTACTTTTCATTTTTTGACGGATTACGTCCTTACCTTTACCTTTTTTTTGTGCAAAACGTCCTT